GTATGGAGTATTGATCAGAGGAAGATGAGAGACACCAGAACCAACGATGCAGATGAGCTGAAGGTTCAATCAGAGCAGCCTGGACTTCCAGAACTCTGATAAAATATTATTTTTATTCATCTGAGAAAATAAATTTTATGTTTTAATTCTGCAAGTCCGAATAATCAAAATGACAAGAAATAAAGGAAATATTTCACTCTATATATGTAACATCTGAGTTTCTCTTTGTGAAATGAGGGACAAAATTATTATTATTTTTTCTCACAAAATATTTGTTTTAGCTCCACGTGTATCTGATCAGTTCTCCTTCTGGTTGTTGCTGGGAGATTCAATGTTCTCATAAATCAAGTCTCCAGAGGGGCTCTGCTTACGGGCGACAGTCTAGAAAGAATAATAACAAAACATCAGACAAACTCAGCCTGCATAAGCCAGATGCAACATTTTGATCCAGTTTTTAATTTTAGAATAAATCACCTCCATTAGTTGGCTGCCATAGCCTCTCATCTCCAGATCTGTGGAGCAAATACTTATTTATTGTGATGAATTATTAAAATCACAATTTAGATCAACAAATTTTCACTTTTGAAATAGAAAAACAACAAAGATATAAGAACAATCAACATCATTTAAAACCAATCAAAAGTATTACAAAGCATTTAAACTAATGAGAGAGAAAGAGGATGCCATGTTTCACCACTTCATTTATAATTTTATTTATTTTTAATGTTTTGCAAATCCTAAAGAAAACCTGTAAACATGAGGAGAAGTGTGTCAGCTGCTTTCTCACCTCTCAGAGATCTCTTCCTGTAGGAAACAATCAGAGCAGCTGATAGCAGGACGACGATGACGGCCAGAGTCACAACAATCACAATCAGAGGAAGATCTGCAGAGATTAACAAGCTGGTTTTTACTGACACCTACAGGCGGATCATGGTACTGACTATGGACATGTCAGGGTTAATTCATTTCAGACCTCCTGATCTTCTTCAGAAAGTTTTATCTCTAAAAATAAAATAAAATCTGAACATAAAAACATAATAACTAGAGTTGCACCAATTCATTAGCAGCTATTATCAGCAGATCGGTGATCTGCCACTGTCCTCTTTTCCCTGCCATGAGAGAGTTCACTGACACATCCATCATCACGGCACGTTCACAGTTAACAATATTCACTCCACTGTTGCCAACTCAGCAACTTTCCTGCTACATTTAGCAACATTTCAGACAAAAGAAATTGGTATTGGCCAAAATCAGAATTGTTAGGTCAGGCTTTTAAAGATCGGTAAACAGAGATCGGCCAGAAAACAGTGATCTGCCCTAATTTTAACAAAGGTTACAAAACGTTTATTAGTCATCCAAACACCATCATCAGGATGAAACCATCAAACTTTCTTCTTTGTGTTAAATGTCAGAAACTTTCTGCTCACTGTCACAACTGATAATGTGTGAATGAACACAATCATTTTCTATAAAATGGTATTATATTCAGTATATTAGAGATGAAACTTCTTCAAGAGGGTAAACTCCTGGTTGTGTTGAAAGTCGACCTGCGGTGGAAAAGTCTTTAACTGACACTGAACTGATGTACCTGTAGATGTTGCTCTGTAATTCTGGTCCAGAGGTGACGGACCAGTGGTTTCAGAGGAGACTGTTGGATAAACATGCATTGTGTAAGAGTGTCCACAGGGTGTATTTATTTGTGTGTTTCTATATGTTTTTTAAAACTCACCATTTGTGACGATGTTAAAATCCACGTATAATTTTTTTTCAGAGCTTAAATACGAAAGGCATCTGTATCGTCCGGAGTCAGACTGGGTCAGATTCTTAATGGTCACATAAAAAACATCTGAAGATTTGTGTTTGCTATGACCAATGCTGTATCTGCCGCTCTGAGCTCTGACTCCATCGGTGTAAACAAGAATGTTTTCTTCTTCTTCACATCCTCCTCTGCAGAAATATTTGGTTTTTCCCCAGAAACCAAAGAAACAGGCGACTGTCAGAGAGCTGCCAGCGTCTTTATAGAGGTGATGATCTTTGCTTCCATCCAGCAGAGCTGTTAGAATAATCATCAGTTACTTTCTGATCTCAGCATGATGCAGTCTGATCACATTGATCCCAGTTTCACACTGGGAGCTGCCCAGTTCAACCAGTCTGAGGCTGGAAGAGTTAAACCAGCAGAAACTGGATTCTTCATTTCATCCCATCAACAATATTTGGCTAAAAACTAAAAGCAAACAATCATTTCAAAATAATCCAGTTTAGTTTTGTGTAGTTTATATCCATGATAATTTAGCTCAACAGGTTTAGTTTCATGTTTTCATTCAACCAACTTCAGTATAAGATGAACATCAGCAGCTCTGTGAGCGACTGAAACGTCCTTTACTTATTTAGAACAAAATGCAGCTTAAACATAAACTCACCTTCTGCAACAACAGCTTTGAATTTTACGAATGTAGAAGGAGAGTCGCTCAGACCACATCTGTACAGTCCAGAGTCAGAGTGGGTCACATTAGAAACTCTCACAGTTAAATTATAAGACTTGTCATGAACTCTTTCAGAATATTCAATGCTGTTTCTTCCACTTGTTTCTTTATTAGACGTTGTGTTAATAAGAACGTTTTCTCCTTGACAGTTTTCTCTGCAGAAAATCCGCCATGGTCCAGGTGAGAAATTGTGGCATATAATGGAGAGGTCTTCTCCAGGTAGCCAATAGAAATGGATAATTTCATTGAAAGAACCACTGTTCCCAACCTGCAGAGCTAAAAGAAAGAAAGAACAGTTAATATCAGAACTTCCTGATAGAAACTACAATCTAACCACATTTTCTACATTCTTCAAGCCTACAGGCTGTACAACATCAGGTGGACTAACAAAAAAAGCCCAACTAATTTCCTGACATCAACTCAGAAAGAACAGAGTTCA